TACAAAGATATCAGTTAAATTTATCCATTTTATTCACAACTGAGAAAACCGTCATGTTTCTTTCAATTGCTCATTCTGAACTCCGGATGATGATGATGGTAATGTATTGACTTGTGGCAAGCGCGCGTGAGAGAGAGTGACAGAAGGGAGTTGACTTTTTGTATTGATTTTTCACGATTATGCAGATAGCTGCTGATTGAACGTGTGGTGCCCATTCCTCAATATATGTCTCCTGATGTCACGAGTGACATATATATATACTCGTTTAATGTCGACACTGGTTGAATTGTTTCCATTGTGATATTTCACACATGTCTGAGTTCAGACTGTGTGCCAACCTCCTCACGGAACGACAATGACAACAACAATCCTCAGAGCGATTGAATGGGTACACTGGCTAAAAACGACCAATCAAATCACACGGTTCTCTTTTACACCATCCACTGTTGCTTGCAGGTGCGAATCATTGGATTCAATGCGTTCCACAGTCTGGATAGGCTGTTTTTTACTGTATTCTGAAACCACTCGTCAATTTTGACTGTTTACTACGTGGTGTGATTTGTTGCTGTCGTAATAGATGGGTGGCATTGGTGGTGAGAGGCCAACTGTCAATTTTCTGTCAGATGTTGAAACGGGTTCTGATAGGGACTGGCTCACACTCTGTTGTATCCGATTATTCTGTTCTCTCTCTCTCTCTCTGTGTCAAACAAATCACCGTGCAGCAATTTTTACTTAAAAAAAAGAAGCACTATGATTTACTCGAGGGCATGAGGTTTCTAGGTGACCCATACCACATGTTTGTGTGTGTGTGCATGTGAATATTCTTAGGGAATTCACAACCGGAGCCTTTGGCTAACCAAAGCCTGACCCGCAAGACAGCACAGAGTGGTGTATGAAAATCGCTGTCCATTGGACGGTCGGTCAGGTGTTCTATACATCGGATCATTCACCTTTTTGGATGGGGGCAAACATCCAAGGTGCCCGCCCAATACACCAATCATGCCAGTGAATACTACTGTGACTCGGAAGATTCGTGTATTGCTTGTACGCCTCCTATTGGTTTGTTTGTTTTTTGTTTTGTTTTTTTCGAATCGAGGAGTTATAACGCCGAATATTGGTTAACTTTTCGTCCTCTTCCTCTTGGTGTGGAAAAACACGTCCGTAACACGAGCAGGCAGTGACTTAAGGCTTCCTTCTCAGCAGAATTAGCTATTTGACACACTTGATCGTATAGGGTGAAGCGTTTCGTGAGGTGCAAGGGAAAGGGGTGACCAGCCGCAACCGGAGACACCCTCAACCATACCGTTGTGTGAGCACTTCAACTAACCAGGGGACCCGCGGTTCGCTTGTGATAACCGGTATCTGATGATGGGCATCGTATTGAACCCCTGACAACCGGGAAGCTACATACTTACCGGGACCTAGAGTTTAATCAATTTCTGGTTCTCATGTTCAGTTCAGAACATTAGGAGAAAGACAGGAAAGGTTGAGAGTTGAGAATTAGAATTGAGAAGATACAGAAACGTCAATGTTTACGACACTCAGCCATATCACACACTCACTGTCTTTAACCATCGGTTACGATGGTTATCCCGAGGTCCCCATCCAGGGAACCTAACGAGACCTATGTGACCCACACTCCTGGTTAGGGTTTGCATACTCTCATGCCTTGGCTTTCTTCCACTACCTGCCTCGACGAGCATCGCTCGCAGTGCATAACACATACCCCAACCACCCAATGAAGCAAGTGGTCGACCGCATTTATCTAAAACTCTACGCCTAACCTCAGCATTGTTCGTCCGGCTGCTCTCACAGATTCGTGTAGTGCTGCGTAGCACAGTGGTGTTCAAACACCGACCATCTATCTTTATCCTATTTTCTTGTCGCCCGAGTTTCCGCGCCATATAGCAGAACTGGCCGAGCTACCGCAGCGTATACTCGACCCCTCACAGACAGCCGGATGTCGCGACGGCACTACAAATGTCTCAAGTTGTCAAATGCGAGCTGACACTCTATCCATGATGCATCCACATTCTCATGTGATCCAGGACTATGCCATCCCCAGTTCACTGTCTGGTCTAGGATGTTCAGACCGCACCGTGTCTTATCGAATGTGTACTGTTCTTGTTCAGGGAAATAATCACAGATTACTGTCCCACAGTTTTGCTTGTTAATTAGTTTCCTATCAATAGGGTGTTTGCACATTAGTTCACCATCTTCCCGGTCTGGTATTCCTGTAAAGTGAAATCAAATAATATTCACTTTAGTGGTTATTGATTTCATTACAATTGTGATTTATGAGACTGATGATGTCACGCTTGATCATTCATCGGGTGAGGTGTGTGTGTGTCATTTACTCCTTTCATTCACAATTGAGACGATTTCATGCCCCTTCACACGCAGCCTTGCAATACGGATAGCAGACACACATCTGTCAAGCTGATGAATGTTTCGTTATCTGTTCTTATGGCTATTTCGTTTGTCGTACTGCAAACTCCAAATGGATGCCTCAACAGGTTCCAACCCCTCCCCGTGCTCACCGCCTCCCCCTGATGTGTGTTGTGTCACCACAAGTGACTGTCGGCGAGATACAAGAATAAAACAATAATCGGTCCCAACAGTCACGTGATTATGTCCCATTCCTATGCAAATCCTCTTTGCCCGGGGTTTCCAACCAGGCCGGGTTAGAGAATTCCAGGCCCAATCAACAACTTTTGTCCACAGACACACACAACAGTACGCACACGGGGATGTACAGCACAGTTGGTCATAAAGACGAACGGTTTTCATCGTTGTCCTGGTTTAATCNGGGGGGGGGGGGGTATGCGCTGGGATTACGCATTTCACTAGTGTCATTTTCTAGGGCATAATTTCCAGGTAATAATTATACAATCACACACCACTTCCACTTTAGTCTCAAATTATTATCCGGATCCCACTGAATTAAAAATAGTCCGGTTTAGTTTTTTTTTTTCTCTTCACAATCCGATAGTTCACGTGTCGCGCGTCCTTCTCTGGTCGCTGGTTATACTCGATTTCGGTGTGTCTTTCAGTCTCAATGAGACGCGGGCTGTAGAGGCGCAACAGTGTCTCGTCAACATCCGACAGACTCACGTGATATGATGATACTCTCAGTCACTGGAAAGATTCGTTTGGAATTTGGCTGGCGGCACCCGGTTGATACCAGCCCCGTACCGCAAATGCGGCAGTTCTCTGGTTTTAGGTATCGCGTTTTGAAGGGACGCTGTGTGTGTGCGCGTGTTTATGGATGATACCACGCGGCGGTTTGCAGCTTCATCCTCCGTCTCTTTCTCTCTCTCGCACACACACGTTGAAGTAATGCATTAAGCGCAAAATGTGTCCCGGAATTCCAGAAGCAGCGAGCAATCGCTCTGTATTGCGTCAGAATGTCACGCGGGAAATCGAAGGTCGATGGGACAGCTCTGTGAGACAAACATAGTGCGAAGCACGGCGTTATTCATCATAAGTATCTTGGATTGCGCAACCGCCAAAGCTGAAAAACAGAACATGTATGACGCACGTCATTTTATGGTGCTCGGATGCTCGGACGAATGAATGGACAGCTGATGAAAGGCTGTGCGATTTGGAGTACGCTGACGACGTCTGCTTGTTCGAATGTATGGAGGATGCACAAAGAGCNGAGCACTTGACAGATTAGCAAGTTCTGTCACTCCGTTCGGCATGTGCTTTACACCTACAAAGTGCAAAGTGATGCCACAAGACCGGGTGTTGCCGAGTTCTGCTCTGAAACTAGACGGTCAGGAATTAGCTGAATTTGACTACTTCTCTTACTTAGGTACCTGCACGACCAAAGATGGTAGCGTATCAAAGGAGATAACCACTCGCATTCCCAAGGCTCGAGCCGCGTATGCAGGACTTAAACACCTGTGGCGGCGACGTGATGTTTCATTGAAGTTGAAAAATCGAGTATACTGCGCCACTGTACGATCAGTTCTGCTTATGATTGTGAGACCTTGAATTTGCGGGTAGAAGACATCCGTCGCCCAGTGGTTTTCGACAATCGGTGCTTACGTAGTCTGGCCCAAGTGGGATGGAGTGAGCGGTTTAGTAACTTAGAAGTCAAAGTCGTCGGGTGTTTGGGAATACATCAAACAAGAACTCGCTATCGCATCGAATCCAGCTCAAAAGGCTCCATTGGTTAGGACACATCTTGCGTATATCCGACGGTCGTCTACCGTAGCGCACCTTATTCGTAATGGCTGTTTCAGGCTGGAGAAAGCCACATGGAGGTCCGCAGATGACGTGGAGACGAGGCATGAAGAAATGCACAGAGTGATTAGATAGAGTAGGTATCTCTCGTCTCCCGGGTTGGGGTTCAAAAGACTCCGCAACCGGATGATTGGAGACACTGAAGGTCATGGTTCCGAACCGACAGTAGTGGCGGTTTTGTTATCACTTCTTATCAGACCAGAATGCTTGAAATAGTTTGTATGCACAGTTGGACTGTGTACTCTGCGTGTGTGTGTTGAACATAGAAGTTCGCTTTCTTTGCCCCGACCCTAAAATTAAGTCCAATCCCAATCCTGCTTATACATTCTCCCTAATCTTCTGTTCATTGCGAGTTTGGCAGCGATCAGTGGAGTTCGCTTCACTGTATTACGCTGTACAGTGATAATGATGATGATGATGATTTGGATGAAATAAAGTCACAATGTGTAGCATTTCACCAACTAGTGATCACATTTTGCTTGCTAAGCGGAAGGATCTTTTAACTCCCAACGGTTTGTTGTTTTGATGGTGGCTAGTTTTTCTGTTGTGTTTTTCTGACTGAAACTTCTGTACGCTACTAGATCAGTCCGTTAGGTAAACAATAATGTCCTCTTTTTAATCAATTTTTTTCTGTTTAGAACAAGGTATCGTGCGAACTACGATGTTGGGAAGCACTTTCTCAGCATCTCAACTTTGTCGATAAGTGTCAGAAACATAGGCCATTCCCATACATTGAACCAAGGCATACTATCCACTTGATCCACGGACAGGTTAGTTCAGTTATCAATTTGAAAGGGACACGATAGTTTATATGCAATGGAAACGTTTGCGATGACCAACACAAAGAGCACTGGATAGGTGTTTCGTTCTGTTTTTTTTCTGTATGTGTGTGTGGGGGGGGGACAATCGTCAGCAGTGTGTACTTTTAGTGTCCCCGTGTCAGGACTCGAACCGCGATCAGTCGGGTTGGGACTTCAAACCCCTGTCCTTGAGCTATACGATCGACGATCATCATCACCTGGTGCGAATGGCTTAATCAATTTTAGAGTATCAAACATGGATTAGCTGACGAGGTTCAAACAGGACGAAATAGCTATGTTCAGTGCTCTTTATGTCGGTCATCACAAACATTTGGATCGCATTTAAATGCACTTGACTAGTGGGGAATTAACGATCTCCCACGGAGTGAAATCCACACCCAAGACCATCAAGGGTATCTGGTGCATCTGAACAATCGGAATGGGCTAATCCAAGCTTGATACTGTAAAAACAAGGTAGTTTACTTCCAAGCGCAAAAAAATCTAGTTACTCAGCCATTCCAAACTGCCACCACGCATGCGTGTGTTGGTCAAAACCAAGCTCTGTACAAAATGCGATTCAACCTGTCTGTCAGCGACAAATGACACGTCCAAAGACAGAGACAGAGACAAGATGCACTGAGTCTTCCTTCCTGCCCGATCCGTGCTCGACTAAGTTTTTTGTAGTCGTCCATCACATGAACAGCTCTATTTCGGATAAGAACACAATTCTTACGTAGCTTTAGTGAGGTCATGGCCAGGTCTGCACTTCGCGTTCCCACTACCTTAGAAGTGCGCGCGCGTAGCCTAACGGCATTAAAATACCCGTTTTTTTTTTACTATTTTCTTATTCGTCTGATCTCTGCGTCCGGTTCTCAGAATATGGTTGGTAGTCGAATTGGGTAGAAGGCAGTACCTAATTGCATAATACACGGTCATCTCTAAAAACAATCGCTATCTACGTTGTATAGCATGAATCTGGTGGGTCACCGGACGATCAATGTTGAGGTGAGTCGTGGAGCTTTAGGTAACCGTGGTCTTCCACTGGAGCAGGCGATCGACCTCCATAGACTCCGTTGGTTGGTTGGTTGGTTGGTTGTGGAATGTGTTACGCATGTCACCAAATTGATTGCCTCGACCTGCAACAACGGATGGGTATTAAAAGTAAAGGTTGGTCAGACTCAGGCATGAACGTTTGAAGACCCTGACCAGGAGACTTGTTGCTACATTAGGGATCATTGTAACCGAGGATTAAAGACACTGAGTGATATGGCTGAGTGTTATCACCACTGACAACTCTCATGCATAGTCTTGATTTCTTTGCAATTTAAGTCCACTGGAACTCCATCCTCCTTTTCTTTTCGACTCCTACTTTCTTTCTTCTACCCCTTTCTGCGAATGAAGCAGTCAAAATATAGCAACCAAAAACCCGGTGCACGAAAGTGCATAGTTACGTGGTTGTACAAACTGTCACTGGACTCTTTTCAAACTTCTGAATCCCAACGCCTACCCGCAAACAGTTCGACAATTTCTGTTTAAGATCTGCCCCATTGAAATTTCTCTTCCCTCATATATATATATATATATATATATATAAACAAAAAGGAGCAGGAGTTATAATGGCCTGGCTGCTCTATCCCTTTTTCACGTACTATTTGTAGTGCCATTGCCTCTTTGGTTCAGAGGAAAGAAAGAAACTTATAATTAGCCAAATTTTTAGCATTGTTGAACAGGAAAGACGAATGTCTCACGAAGGCGGATTTCCTTCGATCTGACGGGGAGTTGCTTATTGATT